AAAATTATATTCCTGGAAATAAAAGATTACAAAAATGTTTAATAAATTATTTTAAAAATTTAATACAATTAATTACATTTCAAAGTATTAATAAAGTTGTACAAAATATTAAAAGAAAAAAATTTCTTCTTATTGAATATATTTAACATTTTCAATTAAAATCACTCGATAATTGGATGTATAAATTAAAGAACATGTTTATTGTACTTTTAATGATGATTTCATAATTAATTAAATAGGTACTTGAATGCTCAGCTTCGACGTTAGATTATTGCGATTTTGAGTATTATTGCATAATACCGAATCGAATCAATATTACTATGGAACGTATTATAGCTTGAAAATTTTAAGCAACTATATTGAAAAATAAAGCTATTATATGACACAAAATGATCGGTCAATGAATAAATATGATACTACTTATTTATTATTATATTGAAATTAAAAATCGAATTACAAATCTCGCGATAAAGATATTAAAAATTATTACAAAAAGAAAATATTTTCGTATATATATCTTGTTTTGTGCGATTTAATGAAGTTATTAAAAATATCACTAAAGTCGTTCGCGCTAATATGTTAATCATATTAATCCTACAGTGACATGTAAATGATAAAAATTCTAATTCCACGTTTCAATCAATGAAGGAATAATATAAGATCTTTTATGTATTATGATCAAAGCACAATGTATTGTTAAAATCTGCTTGGATTACGAATTATTTTTAAAATTTATAACGAATGCCTCTAAATTTGAATGTTTCTAAACATCTTGTTCAATTATATTTAATAAATCAATATATAAATACAATTTTTATTCGGTGCTTAATCGATAAATTACTTTTTCATAATCTTTAATTACAATATTTTATAATGTAACATCCAAGTTGTTCAATTCATTGAAAATATTTAAAAATTAGAATAAGGGATATTGTTATTTCTTTATTATAATTAATTTCTATGCCTCTATAATATAATAAAAATATATTATTTTAAACTAAAAATAATAAAATAATGATATATACTTATTACAATTTATAAATGGATATATATGGATTTATAAATAGATTTGCCTTTCATCGCCTGAAAATTTAAATATTTGTATTTATATATGATGTATGTTTATACACAATGACAATCATTATTCATTTACATTGTGTAGTTTAGAAATATTAATATCTTAGCTAACATAAATAAAAATCATTGTAATAATTGCTGATAATACATTATCATCACTATGATTTTTATAATATATATTATTAGTTGTTATTGTTATTTTTATTTTTCTGAAAGTATCTAAAAAATATTATATAATAAAAAATATTAATATTTTCTATATATGACATAATAATGGAAGTAACGAATAGGAAAGTAAATGTTTTTTCGTAACAATTTGTTGTCCTAATTGGTTATTTTGCAATCTTATATTATACGCATCTATGCAGTATATATGTGTTATGTGTATGTAAAGTTTTTATAAAAAGAACAGAAGTTGTTTTATGTGTTGTCCTAAAATATGCATTTGCATCGATACTATTAAATTATATGAATTTAAAAGATTATTTAAAAAATTATATTCTGTCTGTTAAATAGGGACGAATTACTTTCAGTCACTGATAGTAGCAAAAGTTTTTTATTATTATTTTACTATTATTTTCCGTCCCATTAGCGTTACCCCCCTTCCCCTCCTTTTTTTTTACCTAATTTTTTTCTTACAAACCAAATTTCACTTCGTTTAATTGTCAAATTCTTTTACTCCTTTAATATTTTGTTCCCTCTGCTGACGTTCTTAATTATACTTACTTTTTCAGTATATCTTTTTATCTTCGCTATATCCATTAATTATCTTATACTTTTATACATTATTCTATTAGATTCTACTTTTTACATTTTCTTTCATTAATTCTTTATTAACATTACAAGCCTTTTGAAAACAAAAATATTTATACAGAATATGTACTCATAGGTTACGTAACATACGAAGGTATATTCTCAGTCAATTAAATTTGTCGGTTTATTTATTGAAATTCTAACATTAAATTTCTGGTTTCCCCCCCCCCCCCTTCTAACTGTGTATCGTGTTTATCATCTATACATTCGATAGTCAATTCTACAGTCTTTTTTTTCAGTTCGGTACAGCAGTTTTTGAAGCATCATCTGTTGAAAATAATATATTACCTTTAAATATATCTATAATTACATAGTTTTTTCATCTTTTGTTTTAGAAAATAAAAGTTAAATTGTTTTTTAATATTTTAAGCGTACTTGTTATTTGAATAATATGTAATTAATAATTCTTAGCAAAAATTGTGTTAAAAAAAAGAAATAATAATTTGATTATTATCATTTATAAATAATATTTATCATGATAAAAAATAATTGCTTTATAGGCTAATTATTGTGTTAGATAGAAAATTATTTCAACAACTTTTATCAACATCTTAATTTCATTAAATTATTACGAAAATCATACGCTTTGGTTATAAAAATTTCTTATATAACTGAATCGATAGCATATTAGTCAATGTCATTGATAATAAAATTAAACGCGTGTTATCAGATAAATATTTCCTAATATTGTTTATGCCAATTTAATTTGATATTGTATAACTCATTTATTATTTACATGTATTCGTTTTCGGACCATACAAGGAAAAATTCAAATTATTCAATTGAATTGGTAACGTTTAATATTCTACAAAAATTCCATTTATTGTTATATATTTTTAACAGTTTGTTTATTTTTATTTGCTTTTATATTTTTTATCAAAGTAATTTTTTATATCTTGTAGTGGAAATAGTGTAAACAATGGAATATTTACACATTGATTTATGGTGAAAAATATTTTTGGTTTTGTGAAAGGTTTAAGCAGATAATAAATACACTTTTAAGAAACTCAAATCAATATGATATTGTGCTAGACTAAATTGTGATTTAAATAAGAACTTAATGCAATTCGTCGTTATTTATTGCCCTCTGCTGGTTCTGTCTATATATATATATATATATATATATATATATATATTTTTTTTTTTTTTAACGTTCTATGTATTGTTTAAATTGTAATCGATGAATATTCAACAATATCGCTCGTTCGTGACATATCTTTAAACTAAAAAGAGTTTCTTTTATCATAATTTTATGATGTAATTACTTTTTTGATAATATTTTATCTAAAACATATTGAATTGTGAAAACTTTCGTCTTACTTCGAACAACATTGATTTTCTGCAACCATGCAATTAATTTTCAATATAAACACTGGATATTTTATAAATTTATCTTCACAATCTAAAAAACAAGTACTCCGTCATATAACATCTTATCAGATATCTTGCATCAATATATAAATTCCTGTTTTATAGTTGTGTATTACCTTCACTTTTTGAAACTCTTATCAGTTCATAAAGGTTGAATTAAAGATTAAATTAGTTCATCGTAAAATTATTATAAAAAATCCATGTTTAAAATGAAGAAATCAAAATTATATTTAATGTTTAAACATTATATGCAAGTTTCATTTATAATTTATTAAATTTATTTGGTAATGTTAAAAATTATTAATAATCTGAATAATAAAATACTTTAAAAACGCATTGCGAGGATATAAAACTAGCAAGCTTATGTTGCTATATTTCCTATGTAACAATTAGTTTGAATTTGATTTAATCTATCTTAGAATATAATAATACTAAATTAAATTTGTACTAAATATCTAAAAAAATTAATACAAGACTTGTAGGTAAATGCACCACTGAATAACTTAAATTAAAATAATTAAAATTAAAAATCTTTTTATGGTGTAATATATATATATATATATATAAACATTCTTAATTTTTAATAAATAAATAATATGGCGCATAAGAAACGATAAGTATAAATTTAAATAATAACAAACTTTGAATAGTGAGTATGTCAAATTTTAAATAGTAAAATTTCTTATTAATTTACACATTGTAAGGTAATCGGAAAATTTTTAATAAAAAGTAACCGAACATTCGTCATATTATTAATGAATATTTTGAATATATATTAAGTTGATTAAGTATAAGAAGATAATTTTTCAGTATAAGAACATAGTTGGTAAATTTACATGATTATTAAAATGAATAATGTAAATGCTTCTACTGCATGGATTAAATAAATTGAAATATCGAAACGAGAAATAGAGATCATTATTGATTGTAAGAATAAAATGGTAAATTTTAAATACAAACAAAGTTTAAATCTTTTTTCACTTATTTGATACAAATATTAAATAAATATATACTTGAAAACATAATAACATTCATAAAAATCCTTTTCAATCAATATTTAACTATTATATTATGTGATTTATTCACGTAAGATTAATTGAGATTCTATGATATTAGTGCTTGTGTAATTGTATTAACAAAAATAATAATAACAACAAACATAAATTTAATTAATTGTTAATAATATAAATTAGATCATGCTTCATTGGTGCATTTACCTTGAATAATGTAATTACATTAATGCTTAGGAACGATGCACTTTAATTCAGCCACTAAATACTAAGACATTTTTATAGAACATGGCACATTATTTGAGCAATTTTCTCAAAATCTATGATGTGGCCATTTGACAAACTAAGCTGTCTATATGTATACACTTATATACATTTACATATGTATATTTTTCACTTTCTATAAGCTGCACTTTTTCACAAATAAAAAATTAATTAGTTCAGTGCATTCATTGAATGTTGTATTGCACGTAGTCATTTGAGCTACTCAGTTGTTGAGTATTCAGTTCTTTTTAAACTTAACGAATCTCAACTTGTAGGATTAGCAGCTGCAGTAGTAATGTTGATAGTGGTGGTTGTCATACTTAATTACAGAGAGGGGGAGGGGAGGGGAAGAGAGAGAGAGAGAGAGAGAGAGAGAGAGAGAGAGAGAGAGAGGGAGTGAGAAACAAAAGTCACATAACGCACAATTTATTCGTTGATTTGTAGTGGGCTCGTATCGTCCGTAATGTCCGGACGATTAGTTTTAGATGGTTCGTAGTGTTGTGGGCCGATTGCGTCTTGTATTGAAGTGAAAGCAGCTACTGTTCGTGCGACATAGCCTCCATAGTCAAGTTCGTTTGAATTGTTGGCTTGGGGTTGTTGCTTGGGCGCTCGAGGATCCATTGCTTGGATTACCCATCGTCGTTGCAACAGTATTATTGCCATTGGAAAAAAGTAATCGTCTGTTGAATTCGCACATCTCGTAATTATTGTTGCCGTTACTTTTCTCACGAATTGCGGCTGTGGAGTGATGCTGTGCTGGAGGTGTTGACTCCTCGAGAATGAGAGCGCAGTGGCTATTGGTATCACTGTCAGCTCCACCATCCTGTAAACTGCCACCTAGCAGTGGATGTTTGCTATTCGTGCAATCCTCTGTCTGTACAAACAGGGCAGTTGTACCTGTAACGATTCACGTAAGCGTTAATCGCATTCTACATACATAAATCAATTAAAGACGAATGTTCAGCACACACGTTTCTCCTAAAAATGAAATCATTCGAATTATTATGCTTAGAGTGAAGTCTGAAATCTATTAAAATCATATTATTATGGCATAAATTAAAAAATACAAATGAATTTCAAGTTTAAATTAGCTTATGAATTATAAATTTAGGTAACATTTTCGCTTTCTTCTTCAACTATTTAATGTTCAAGCAACCTAAAATGAAACTAAAATTAAATTTAACTCTTGAGGAAGTTATTTTTATTATTGAAATTTTAAATATATATATTACATTTTATATATCACATTTTCAACAGTTTAATTATTAAAGTGAGCTACTGTCATTTTTTTTAAAACACATGTTTACAAACATTACAACTTTCCTGTTATTATCTTTTTCATTACATTTAGATTATTTGCTTAAAGTGTTTCTTTATATTTAATTTCTAAATGGTGACGAATAAGGTAGATATAAAAGGTTTATAAAGCACGACTGTTCGACTTATTTAATTGGAAGTTGTTTAACCTAATAACAATTCATAGAAAAATTATATTGTGGATTAATAGGTAATAATTCTAAGATTTTTCCTTGACTTACTAAAATGAAAAGTAAATCAATTTTATTTATTGAACAAATAAAATAGTTTAAAACAGTTATATAAATATTAAAATTATAATTCTTACATACAAATTCTGTTCTGACAAAAAATTTCGTATAAATAATGATATGAAAGAGTCCATAAAGATGTGTACTAATCATATAACAAAATTAAAAAAAAAAAATAAATAAACCCATTGGTAAGAATGTAATAATAAATAATAATATAAAAAAAAAAAATAAAAAATAACAGTTAAACAATAGTATAATAAAAACAGAAAAATAATAGTAAAATAAAAATTTGTAATATAATAATATTTAGAATTCTATTCAAATAAAAAATGAGAATTCAATTATGAAAACGTAATTTTAAAACGACCATTTAAAAATAAAACATTGAAAGTCTCATAAAGTCACATTAAAAAGTTTATATTTAAATTGTCGAATGAAAAACAAAATATGAGTAATGAAAATTTGATCAATCGAGTGAATAGAAGCCGGTGATTCAATAATGCCATATATTAATAGTTAAATGTTAACATAAACAAATTTAAATTTTATGAAAATACAATAATAGAATTAGAAAAAAATTATACTATAAATAATATTTCAAATAAGATTGAGATTATCTTCATTCACTACATGTAATGGATGTCTTATAAAGGATTTTATGAAGTAGTAAAATTTACAATAGAACAAATAAATTGATATTAGAGTAATATAGAAAAGGTAGAAATGCAAAATTACAAACTGACAAATACCGTTACATATATATATATATATATGCCGAGGCGTAAATTATTAGATCAATTGTGACATATATAAAAGTCAAAATAAACTCAAATGAGCCTTAGAGAAGAATTAAATATTGTAAACGTAGTATAAATATTAATAAAGATACATCATAATAGAATATTTGTAATATATACAAATTGAATCTTAAAAATCTAAGATATTAGGTAATGATTTATAAATTGTTTTTTACGATTCTTTTACAAATTTACGATTAAATTTAATGATAGAATTTAAGTAATTTGGGAAGCAATATATACGTTAATAAAATATTAAATAAATTATTTATTCCAATTGCTCATACGCATACACGCACGCATAGACATATTTAATAAAAATAATAATACTTATATAAAATTTAACAATTTAAATAAACAATGAAAAATTAATTTAATTTTTTGTTTACCTTCTAATTAATTAATTAATATTTATACTTAGTAATTAATTTATATAAAAATATTTAACCGATAAAAATTATATATCAACGTGATTTATTGATTATTAAAAAATTAAATTATTAATTGCAATAAATTTTTAGTTATATCAAACAAAACATTTTATTTTATACTTATTATTGAATAATATAAATACTATTATTGTAAAGAAATTGGAATTGGAATTGGAAAACAATCCTAAAATTTTTCATATTTTATTCTAAAAGATTACAGAATGCATTTCTATATTAAAGATGATAATGTATTTATAAAAGTTGTAGATTAATAATAAAATTTTTATTCAACTTGCTAAAGAATAATTTGTTGAATTAAATAATTATTCCCGATAAGATGGAGGTTTTTAAAAATAATTTGTAAATTTAAAAATTTCATTAATATATTTTTATTTCAATTCACATAAAATTAATTAAGCTTATAATAAAATAATTAGGTCTTGAAGTTAATAATTTATTGGTAATATCTTAAAATGCTTGATATAATATTCAACTTTCTAATTTATCAAACGCATAAATTTATTTATTTCGAATATATTTTTATGTAATTTTTGGATTTATATACTTCAATATGACATTCAGTTTATTGCATTTAGAATAAAAGAGATTTAAAACATTAAATATGACAAAGTAAAAAATTTGAATTAAGATCACATTAATTGTAAGATAATTAATTATGTCTCATATAAAGTCTATAGAGAATTATTTTTCAAACTATTATTAATATATAATTAAAAGACTTTGAACTGATCTTATAAATTTTCCTCTAATGCAAGAAAAATCTTTAATTATAAATTATTTTAAAATTAGGGCACAGTAAAATTTTTATCATCTTAAAATTATAATTTAAAACAAATATTTCATTGGCTTTTATCATAAATGCAATTTATGCATATTAAATTTAATAGAGAGACTCATTTTACATTTTTAATGAATATATTAATTTTTTACTTTATAATCAAATACATTTCAGCTGGTTGATTAAGATATACACGACATTCGAATCAATGATATATGATTCGCTAATTTATTGAAAATAATACAAAATGACATATTATATTTATTTAATACATCGTAATTGATCTCGGAATGTCAAAGTTTTGCTACATATAAGGAAGTTAAGAAAAACAAAAAAAAACAAAAAAACAAAAAAACAAAAAAAAGAAACAAAACAAAAACAAAACATAAGTTAATAGAATAAAAGATTTAATTTTTTAATCTTTATGCCAGTAAAGGCTGTAATATGAATAAAACTAATTACGATGAAAACAATGAATGATAATATTGGTATATAACAGTTTTGATGACGTTGAGTGAAACATGACCGAATTAAGCATGAGCATTTATAAAAGGACGAAGTGGGATGGACATTATAGTGAGATATTAGAGAGTGGGATATCAGAGCGAGAGTGAAAGCGTTGTGATTATTTCGTAAAATCATCTCGCCCTTAGCTAAATACGTCTAGTTTCATTTAACTCGCGACACATTTCAAAACTAGAACAATGTCTCATTGTCAGAAGCGTGGCGAAGTAAAATGAATAAATGGACTTGGGCGTACGTTCCGATTCCGCGGAAGAGCATTGAAAATCATGGATGATAATCGGGAACGCGGGAATTTTCTTCAAAAAATTAAAAAATATGAATAATACGAGCCGAACAACTTACGTCAGCGAACGAAATTTGCAACGCGCTAAAAGAAATTATGGCTCGTCTCTAAAAAGTAACGCGCATGCTCTGGCAAATAATCATGCGACTGTTCGGCTTTGAGTTCAACGGGATTATTGCTTTCATTATTGGAATGGCTTCTTTACTGTTATTATGGCTAAGGGATTTTTTGATAAAATTGCTTCGTGCAGCTTTGCTTTATCGAGCGCATTATTAGTTCTTCCCAATTTCTGATTTCACTATCAATCCTATTTAAGCAATATAATCTGACATAATTATAAAATAGTCATTATACATTCTGTTAAAACAAAGATTACTATCTTTTATCAATAAAGCTGTAATGGATTTTAGTTTCGATACATTTTACAAACACATGTATAATTGGGAGGCTATATGGGTGTTAATAATCTTTTCGAATAAACATATCTGTCATTATTTTAGATATTTTAGTTACCTGAAAAATGTTTAGCGTAATTAAAAATTTTATGTAACTTTAAAATAAAAGATCCTCATTATATCTTAATCATTAAAAATTGAATTATGGAAATAGAATAAATTAATAATATATAATATGCTTGTAATTTTTTATGCAATAAAAAATATGTATGTTAATGAATAGCATAATAAAAAATCTCTAAGTACATATAAAGTTACGTACATATGAAAATATTATTTTGTATACACATTTGATTTTTATTTTAATACAACAAAAAAAAAAAAAAAAAAAAAAAAAAAAAAAAAAAAAAAAAAAAAAAAAAAAAAAAAAAAATTTTACAAAAAAAAAGTATTTAAAACATTATTTATTATCTTTTTATCAAGCAGTTATGAACATTTGTCATTACTACAATAAGCATTAATTAATATAAATATAAATGGCAAGGACATAAATTTAAGGAATTTTTTTTTTGACATTTCATACGTTATTAGTATATAAACATAAATTTTTAATTTTGAAATTTTCAAAAGTTTTATTTGATTAAATTACTTAAATGAAAAACAATATTTTATAAAAATATAAAATATTAAAATATTATATTCTTTTAAAATAAAAAATTCTCTAAACTGTATTAAATAATTTAATTGTAATTAATATTATGTATCTGATTATACATTTCAGAATTAAATATTTCAGTATTTAAAAAGTGACACATATGCGTATAATTGATATGTAATTTAATAATGGACGGAGAATTTGTATCTTTGGTCTTAAGAAATGCTATCTTCTTAATTTAGCAATTTACAATTTATTCTTTTACAGTTAATTTAAGATTAAAAATTTGTTTATGTTTCTTATTGTCGTAATAATTTACTATTCAAATTTTTAATTTTTAATACAGAAAGGCTGCATCTCTCTTATCCATATTTAACTTCGGTGATTTAATTAACCTTTTATCGTAGAATTCAAAATATATAAGACAAAACTTTCTACGCGATAGCAACGAAATCGATATGAATATCGATAACTTCATTCCTGACGCGATTGTTTCATAACTTAGGAACTATTGTTTTTGAGTGTATTTTTTTTTTGTCGTTTGGTTGTTGTTGTTGTTGTTTTTTTTTTTTTTTTTTTTTTTTTTTTTTTTTTTTGAGATTTGAGATATGTTGGTCATATTATATTGTAATATACTATTAACATTACGTCTATTATCATATTGTAAACTATATGTTATAATTAGTACATACAGTAAAGTATCGAATTAAATGTTTAAAAGAAATAAAGAATAAATTTATTGACGAATAATAACTTCATAACATTAGTTTGTAAAATTATTAAAAAAATTTATCAAATCTTAATTAATTGATTAAATGTTAGCAAAGATATACGGATAATAAAATTAAAGGACTATTAATAAAGTGTAAAGTATGCGTTGTATATTAATTAATTTGTATCACTTAGTATGATGTTGAGCTTGAAGGAAATTTTTACAGCTGGATGATATGCGTAAAATAATTTCATAATTTCTTTTGAGTATGATTAAAAGATAAAAGAACTTTGTTGAGAATAACTTACCAGGCGTGGAGTGAGTTGTTACAATAGGGAGAGTTGTTCTCCTAGCAATATTGCCGTTGTTTATGGGTATTTCCATGAGCTGCTGCTGCTGTTGTTGTTGCTGCTGCTGCTGTTGTTGCTGCTGCTGCTGCTGGGACGAAGTTAGGGGCGTTTGACCTATACAAAACGACTGCACAAAGGGCACCGTTGCTGGTGGTGGTTCCTTGAGTAATCTAATCTTCTGTATCATCTCACGGATCTCGTAACGTAATATGCCCAGAAAACAGAGCTTAGTAAAAGCTATGACGCAGAAACCAAGAACGAAGAGCAGATCTGCCGTCTTTCTAAGCCAATGCACAAGTTGCTCCTCGCAGCCCTGACTGTGCGGCTCTTGGCAAGGCTCGTCCGACGTCAGGTTATTGCTTTTGCTGTCACTGATGTTGTTTTCCGAACCAAGGCTCGGGGTGGATATCGTTGCCCTCGAGGAGCAACAGCTCTGCGGCCAGTGCGAATCAAAGTCTAAGGGGCCCGTTATGCCGCAGCATGAGAATTCCCGCTGCAGTTGGTCCCACTGCTCACTGAACCGCGTTTCCTTGCTGTACTCTACCTGCAATGAAGCTCCATGAATTTTTAGGATCCTTCGTACATGAGATACCTCGTATACGGCTATACTGATCTTCTGTGATTTGCAACCAATGACTATATATATTTAATTTTTACTAATTATTTTTAATTATTTTCAAGCTCATGCCCGAGAAATCACGTCTCTTTTTAGCTGTTTGTTTCTTGCACATTTTCCCATTTTAATAATCCATTATCTTTTAAAATGTTAATGTTAGCGAGACTATTGATTGACAATTAATTTAAAAAATTGCAAGTAAATATATAAACGACGTTTTAAAATTAATAAAATTCCGTTCAAAGAGTTATTTATTAATATGTTGCAAAATATATTTGTAAAACTTATATTTATAATTATTATAATGGTAATCATTTCAATTGTTGCATGTGTCTTTCAAAGTAATTTATAACTCCAAAAAATATATTATATTGCAAACTTCAATTTATTAAAGTATCGACAATAAATTAAAATAATTATTTCTGAAATTATACAAATAAAAATATATTTATAGACGTACGATTAAACAAAATATAATATGATTTTATATTAAATTGCAAAACATTTTAAATATTATTTTTAAATTATATTTTACAAATAATAAGACAATATTTTGCAGTTTAGGACGTATCCAATGTTTAATTATGTATTTCTTTACAGAATTAAAAATCTATATGATTTTTAAATAAATACAAATTTTTTACATATTACTTCGATTATAAAGTATCAATAATATTTCTCTATTTGTGCTTTTATAACAAATTATACATAATACTGATATTTTTTCTATAGACTGAAATTTATGCTTAAGAAATACTTAGTAGTTTGATAAATATATTAACTTTTGTTCATAAAGTTGAAAAATATTTGTATAATATTTTATAATATTTTATTTCTTAAATATATTATATAAAAGTTCAATTCTTAGTAGATTTAAATTTATAGATTGTATTAATAGATTCAAATTCTTTTTAAGTAAAAGAAAAAATCAAAACAAAACAAAAAAAAAAAAAAAACAAAAAGAAAAACAAAAACAAAAACAGAACAGTAAACGCTAAATTTTGAGTATATATAAGAAGTTTTCATCAGAATCTGTTATAAATAATTTATTATGATTCGCTTCAATTGTGAAAATTATTTTTTTTTATTTTTCATTCTTCATATATATGAAAGCTTCGATAAAGCCATTGCTCATAATCATGAATTATTGAAAGTCAAAGTATTAAAATTTTATGATAATTAAAATTATTATTCGTGAATAGTCGTTACATTAAAATATGTGATTGTGTAATTTATTTAATTTTGTTTTTATCATATTAAATTTTATTAATAAAAAGGCAAAGGTATTTATAAGTAGCAAATACATAAATATTGTATGTATTAAAAATAAACGCAATTTATTATCGTGACTTATTAATATTTGATTAAATTTATTTTAATTTTTTTTGTTGGTTTTTTTTTTTTTTTTTTTTTTTTTTAATTATAAACACTGCCTTATATTAATTAACTAGAGTCCGTAAAAGTCGTTAAATATAATTTACTCATCGCTCATACCCAAAATATAGTAAAAAAGCTAAATGACCTGTTACCAGATACATTACGATAAATGTAGAAAAATTGGCGCAATAAAAAGTTATCGATGCTTCTACGATAGTTACAATAAAATCAATAGAATGTTAGATAGATTTTCCATTCCGCACAATCTGGAATAGCCGTTAAAGAACAATTGTTTAAGCCGCCACTGGATGTTCATGCTAAAATATAAATTTCGATCATCGATCCGATTCCCGTGACAACATTAAAACAAATGTACATAGTCAATATTAATTTTGCAAGATGCTTCATTACTTTCAGCAACCTGTCCAATATTATATTCTACATTTATTCAAAAGTACGTGAATTTTCACCAAATTAATTATAAATTTTTTATTTCTCTAAAGAAAAAACGTATTTGTATTTTTTCCTTTAATTTTGTAATTGCTTGGTATTGCAAATTGGCAGGTGTTATTGGCATTTTATTGTTAATTTATTTTTGCTTTTTCCTAGAGTGTGAGCTCACTAATTAACTTGCTGACGGTCAAATAATTCTTATTATACGTGATTTTCTAAATCTGTGAATGATAAGCCATCGTGTAAGAATATATTTTCAATTATAATTGTAATAAGAGAATAATAACCACACGATAGCTAATAATATTTATTGAATGGTATTTATTATATCAATGATTTTTCTCAGATTTTACAAGAGGGGCAGAGTGAATTCGATTAAAAAAAAAAAAAAAAAACACTTTGTTTATTTTCTATACTTTATATTTTAAACAATAACTTCATACAGAATTTTTTTTTCTTCGCTTTATATCGAGTATTTTCTGTTTCAATGCAAATTAATTTTAAACAATAACTTCATACAGAATTTTTTTTTCTTCGCTTTATATCGAGTATTTTCTGTTTCAATGCAAATTAATTCATAAAAAATGTATTAGATTATAAAAATAAATGATGTGTCGAACAGTGTATTTAAATTCATAAATTGAATATCAGTGGATTTAATTGAAATTGTTTTTACATTTACATGCACATTGTTTCGTATTATTTGTGATTTTAATGTAAGAGTTTTAAATACGTAATAAAGGTTACGAGAACAATAATGTCAATGATATAATCTAATCTGTGCTTTTAAATGATATTGTAATTGTTAGTGGTTGGTAGTTTTATGTTGAAAAGAAATTTTAAAAATAATTTAAAGGTGCTTATTAGTCAGGGTAGAGTAGAGACAAAATATTTTCATTTGTTTCTCTGCTGTTTTGCATGAGTTACTCGCGACAAGACATTACCATATAGTCATTAGAGAATTATGATAAATCATTCGGGGAAAGGTGTTTAGTTTAATTAGAATAGCCGAACCGAAGCCAGACGGCGGCCAACGCTTACTTTCTTCCTTACTTAGGCACATGTTACGTAAAATAAGAAATATTTTTCTCCTTAACATTTTTAACCGTACAATTTTATTATATAGACAATATACATATCAACCCGTATTCAGCGTCAATTAATTGCATTAATTTTTTTAATTCTTTAGATAATTACGTACTTTTGAGCGTTCAATAGTTTTTATTTCAATCCATTGATGAATAAGATTATCGATTAAAATTTTATTCATCAATCGATATACGGAGTTTCACTCGTACAGTGATTTCGGTTCTCTTATCTGAATCTTTAGGAACAAAAATATCAAAATACCTTGAGAAGAATAAATAAATCGTTGATTTTTTTTGTAAATAAAAAATGCATTGTTCGTGTAAAATTATTACAACGTGTGAAAGTCTACCGTATGTTGCATGGACAATAATATTTGGAACATAAGCCAATTTTATAAATATATGTATATCCGTCGCATTGACAAGGTTTCACTACTATTGCCTTTATTATTGATAAGCCTTCGCTATTGCCTTCGCTATTGCCATGATAAGCCTCAGCACTTAGATAAGAGATATTGATGGTCCTCGAGCTGCAGGTATTTATTGAAATAGCCGATGGACATACCTGTAGTCGCAGCCTCAAACTCGGTCTCAGATCAGCGCGCATCCTCTCGAAACGGAAGACCCAGGCGACGCCAATGACCGCGTCTCCAAAGAGGAGTGCAAGGAGTAGCAGCCAATATGCGTTGAGGAGCTTAGCGCTGAGTCGACGAGCGGCTATGCAACCGAGCAGCTGTACAAGGCCAAGCTGTACGGCAAGGGCGAGGTAGGCATAAAGGGCCGTTGGGTCGTAGGCTCGGGGTACACCTGGGACGAGATAGCGTCTTGGATCTCCGGAGAAGAGGAGCGTACGGGAGACCGCGGCAGCAAATCCGACCGCACTGCCCAGCAGGACTATGTTACAGGCGTAGATCCACAATCGATAGTATCGCATTGCGATGCTACCCGGCGCCGGACCTCCGCGACTCCCAGGTGACTTGTTCCACGCGCCTCCTGCCCCACACGCTGACGCTGAAAGCACCAAGTCCACTCCTCATTATCAGGTCCTCTGGCGACTGTTAATTGCTGCCAAAATGCAGTAGCCAAGTTTAGTAACTTAACTGTTACGCATGCGAGTCTCCTAAGCTCGTCTCGTAACGGATTATTCAAAGTTCATTCGACTTTTTTGTCTTAACGTTTACGAGCTTCTACGATTGTCTTCTACGACTCGTTATTACTCATCCCGGATCTATCACTATCCCACCTATAAAGATCTTTACTATAAAAACAATTTATCTTTATTAGTAGGCCGTTAACTTTTCATCAATTATGCGGTCTTGCACGATCTCTTGTCTTTGTTTAATTATTAAAACTTATTGTCATATTGTCTTATCCGTACAAACTTTGTCACTATCACTAACGCGCAATATATTTTGACAATTAAATAATAAATCAATTGCAACGTATATTTCTTATATGATAAGAAATATAATTAATATTATTCTCGTTATTATTATTATTATTATTATTAGTATTGTTATTATTATTATTATTATTATTAATAATATCGACATTTATTGTGCCATCTTAATAAATTTCAACAAGTTTTACAAATGCAAAGTAACCTTAATTCTGAATCGAAGATAATGAAAATTTTAGCATTTTTATACCATAATCTTAATTGTTTAAAAAAAAAAAAAAAAAAAAAAAAATCAAATAAAAAATAAAATAAAATAAAAAATAAAATAAAATTAATAATTAATCGTAAAAACAGTTTCACGTGCTTAATTATTTATACACTGTGTTATACTTATTTACCTAACATATACAAATTTACATTTATCAGGATGTCTATTTATCACTTATAGCTATTAATTTTGCAGCTTATACATATCGAAATAATCTGTCACTTAAAAAATGTATTTAGTTTCAAGAAATTTTCACGAATATCAAAATATTTTTAATATAATATAAAAAAAATTAAGTAAACATTGAGTAGTAAAAATTAAGTTATTAAGTTAATATTTTATTCTATACGGTATTCTAATTTTGATATTTTTCAACATTTATCGCCTTACATATATTCTTATAAATTCTATAAAAAAAATTTTCTAGTTTTTAGCAACTATTTAATGGTCAACGAATATATAATATATAGTAGTAACCTGTAAATAATTGTAACGCCTATTGAATGATCTTAATAATTTTCAATTGCCATTTTATTTTTAGTATTTTTAATCTTTACTTTATTTATGCCTTTGGCACGTGAAATTGTTTGTATTTATTTCACTATTCGTAAAATATATATAATTTTTTCATTTTACTTTAGAATGTTGTACTATAATAATCATAATTACTATCGTTATTAAAAAAAAAAAAAAAAAAAAAAAAAAAAAAAAAAAAAATCATAGGCTTCGAAAATTGAGGGATTAGAATGAGTTATTAGCATGACATGTAAAGTAAAGTAAACAATGGATCATTATGAGCTAATAATCATGCAATAGACTGCTTATAGAATTATAAAAACAAACATATTTCATACTCTATGACTATAAAAATTAAATTTCAAGTCAATTATCAAATATTCTATAAATATTGATTCATATTGAAAAAGTTTAAATATTTTAAGTGCAATCCTAGTTTCAATAAACAAAAATTAATTTATTCAAAATTTTTAATCGGCTATATCAAATTAGATGGCAATGAGTCAATTGTTTATAAATAAATAGCGATCCAATATTACGTTAATTCTTTACCATAAAATTTGAACTAATTGATATATCCATTTCGTGTTTATTATAATTTTTTGTTATCTTGTTTAACTTACTTTTCTTTCGTCAATAAAAAAAATTAAACATATTCTTATCAATATCATTTCAAATTAATTTGCTATTTTGCTTATCAGCACAATAAATTTCAATAATTTCTGATATATATGATACAAGATCATACGTATCGAATATCTAGGATTGAAAAATATTTAACTGTTAAAAAAAAATTCATTTTGTTTCTAAAACATTCTTTTACTTAAAAAAAAAAAAAAAACATACTTAAAATTATTCAAAAATTGTCAAAAAATTCTTTTAACTAAATAACGTATTCATAATAAGATATCGTCTTGAATAGTTATTTAATTTTACATTATTATTTCATGATATTTTAAGAATATCATAATTTTTGTTCACTACATTTATATATTGAAAATTTTTATTTCAATTATTTTACAATTTCTTATGGTTTTTTTTTATTTATTTATTTTTTTTTTTTTGTTTTTGTTTTTTTTTTTGTTGCAAAATTTCTGGAAAAAAAAAAACAAAAAAAAAAAAAGAAAAGATTCTTATCTTCCTAATTTTTGTAACTGATGCGAGAGCATGATTTATTTAACTTTAAATGTAAAAAATTTGAAAGTTTTTTGACTCCAATGTCGAGACATTGCTAAAGGCTCATTAAATATCGTTTGCCGTCTTATAGAAATCTTTTTAAATATGTTATATTTGTGGATAATCAAACATTTTTTGGCTAAATAGTTGTTAACGTAGGAGAATAGGCATTTATATATTTATAATTTGACTGTATAGAACTCGTTAATTGATTTGAAATTGGCCTAAATAGAGATTGATTTTGGGTATACACATTATTCTAGCCTTTATTTATCGACATTTGGTTCGAATTGAGCCGAGGTATATAATAATGGATATAATACCTGATCCACAAGTACTGCTTCGTCCAATGATTGCAACGTTTTTACGCTCAGTGCTCTCTCCGGTATCGGTATTGTTGATATTGATGTTGTTGCTATAAGTATCGTAGCCACTACTCTCACATTCGAGTTCTGTGTGTTCCTGAATGTCAAGGAGGATTAGGAATGGCGGCTCGTTGCTATTATTATTGTCGGCTGTCTTCTGGCTATACGTCAATTGCGGGGTGGCGGAGCGTTGCAGCAGCATCACCGTCATACTATAAGAACTCCCTTAGCTCGTGCTTCTTTCGATGATGTTTTTATTCTCGGCTTCGCGGTTTCGACTGGCAACCGAATGCACAATCAATGCTTAGTACTGATCACGCAATATTCTGAAACAAATCGGTTACGTATGCTGCTTTAGCACGATTTTCTACTTTCATAATGTCTTTACACTTATTTCTTTGTTTTTCTATTATTAAACGATTTTTACCGTTCAATCGCTTGACATTTAATTTATTATATCAGCCTTGAATTTATTTGACCAATCTAGTGTATGTAAGTCTATAATTGTTAAATTTAAAATTTTATTTTAAAACTAATCGCAAACTTTAGATGTGAATAAAATTCGTCATATTTTAAAGGATTGGCTGAAAGTTTAGTAAACAATAAATACTTCAATTAACTTTTATCCTTGAACGATACCACAAAAATTAATTGCTTGATGGTACAGCAGTTTCGTAACGACTTAAATGAAGAATAAATTTGCTATTAAAATATTAAAACTAATACTTAATGATAAATATTAAATATTTTTTATTATTATTATTAATATTATTATTAATTTTTTATAAAAGGCGATAGGATTTGTTCCAAAAAACTTTTTAACAAAATTCCGTTAAACTCGATTTTTTTTTTTTTTATCTAAATTAAAGATTATTGTATAAATACATTTTGTCAATATGGCGAAGAAATTTCTTAATAAATTGCAATGAAAATAATGGAAATAATTAAGTAACAAATACATATTTTTATAAATGTATTTTAGTTTTAGAGAACGAATTTTAAGAATTAAGAGAAACGTAGATAAGATTTTAAATAGCCTATGAATAAAGAATTTTTTTTTTTCTTTATCTTTAATACATTAAATTAACACCTACTTTTACACAATTACTTTTATGGCATTTACAAGCAACTCGTGAAAAAATGTTATGCGGTACGTATAGGCCTACTTATCGTAATAATTATCCAATCCGACCTTAATACACATAATGTTTATAATCAACATAGGTTTTGTGAATCCATTATTATGTATACCCATGTGAATGTCTACAGGAGTTTTGTAAAGCAGCTTTCGAAACAATAAATGTGCTTATAATATTTTTTAATAAATTATCGATTGTCATTATTGTATTTTTAGTAATCTTCGTTCATAAAAATTTAATAACTGCTTGTCTATTTATATGGAAGCTACATATTTAATAAAATAGAGAGAAAGAAACGAGAATAATTTCTCAGGCTTTCACTTTAACATAAATTTAATGGATTAAGAAGATAAATTAATAATTATTTTAAGGTAAGATTAGGATAAATTAAATTAATTTTATCTTATCTTAATAGGAGAGAGTGAAAAATGAAATGCAGAAATGAAAAATTCTTAGGAAGTGATTGAATAGATTTATAAAAATCTTTTCTTTTTTTTTTTTTTTTTTTTTTTTATTTTTATTATTTTTTTTTTTATATAGGTTTTATACTTTTTGAATTTTTTAAACTGATGTAATTAAGGGAACGTCTGAGAATATAAATAATTGAAGTATATATATGTGTGTATATATATATATGCTTATCAATTCACTTGTTATTAGGATCCCTGCATCTGCATATATATTTTATTTGTAAATAAAAGATTTATAATTATCGTTTGGTATTGTCATTCTTTGTGTAAAATGTATTGGTAATGCTTGTTAGTCTTATTGCTCTATTTATAGTATTTTATATAATATAGTATAAGCAATGAATCACAGAAAAATAATATTATGATTTTGATTTATGTAATGATAAAAAGTATAAAGGACCATATAATTATAATTGATTCGGAAATTACTGTAATGGATAGATTGACCGAGTCCTTAAAGGCGTAAGTTAATAATATTGATTAGTTTTGAGACTATCATAAAGACATTATTAAAAAGATCGAGATAGTAGTAGAGAAAGAAAGAGGGAGGGAGAGAAAGAGAGAGAGAGAGAGAGAGTCATGTTAAAAATATAGAGCTTGTATGTAAAATACAATTGTAAGCAAAACTTGTATGTAAAAAAGAAATTATGCGTATATAAATATTCGCAAATAATTGAGGCAGTATTAATAAAAATAATTAATATATATTCAGTGAATCGATGAATGAAAAAGTTGAAACATGATTTCAGTTGTAGCATAAGAGAAGAGCGATAGTGGATATGTAAACAATGTAAATTCAATATAATTTGGCAAACATATTTAGATGGTTATGAATGATACAAATATATGGATAATTAGAAATATTATATATATATATATATATTTCAAATGTATGTGCAGTTTAACTTTGAGTATTAAAATGTTATAAAACATAATTAGAAAAGAATTATGACAATTTGAGCGCGAATATAGTAAATATTAATGAGTGGATTATTCTTAGAGCGTAGGATTTATGGAAAGAGTATATAGGATAAATGGTTTGAATTTAAGTATGTTAGTTTGAAAATAGATGCCAAATGATTGTATATGTTTGTAAAAATGATTGTGGAATGGCCTTCGTAAAAGAAATGCAAATTATCACTGGATCAATTTTTCTCATTTTAATAATACAAAATTTGTTTTTCATACTTTTTTTTTTTACTTAATCAGAGTTATTAAGTGCATTTTAGTTAGAATAGTGAATGAAAATATAAAAAAAAAAAAAAATGTTATAAAAGAATTTATGTAAAATAAGATTATGCCTAATTAATCGAATAAAATTTATGAACGTGTGCTCTGTAAATGTGGTATATATAAAATTTAAAAAATTTGAATAAAGCGAACAGTCTCTAAAAAGGGAAAGTGTGATGATAAGAAAATAAAAAGTTTTAGATGTAAATACGAGTGATTTACAAAATTTAAGGAATGAGAATTTGATATGCGAATAAATGATGTAGATAAAGTGTGGAAATATATTGTCTGGCTATAGCGTTAAAAGATTCGAGATAATCCACACGACGCAGGAATGTTAAGAGATAGAATCGATCTTTTGTTGTTTATATAGTAAATACACGTAGACTGGATAAATAAATATTCCACACTTATGGGGATCATGTGAATATATAGGCGCATATATAGGCTACATGCCACACGTAAACAATTTTTTTTCGTCATTTTTCTTCTCCTTGTTATCCGGTAAATCATTAAGTAAATAATTCGCTCTATTTGTTGCATTTACGAATCATTAAATAGTCTGAGACGAAAAGCTTATAGAATTAGCCCATAGGATATATAAATATCAATCATAAGTGTCAATGGATATCAATAATAATGGACAAAAAAATTGGTTGCCATTTAATAATTTTATTGCGCGTATTAAATATATCAAGCAACTATGCTTACGTCTAACCGTCTCACGATGTTTGTCTTTTTTAACGACGAATCTTTGAAAATTGAAAAAGATGTGACACTTTCTTTCTTTCTTACATAAATATTTTGCATAATATAATATAATATTAGTAGCTTTCGAATTAAGAATTGTTAATAAAAACAAAACAACAACAACAACAACAGCAACAATATTTGTAATAATAATAATAATAGTAGTAAGAGTAAATTAATTTATTAAGTTTCTATACGTTGAAAAATTAAAAGCAAATTATTTTTACGATATGTGCTATACTGTATGTTATAAAGGTGGTTAAAATACATTTGTATGTGATGTAATTTAAATCTTGTTAATTTAAGTAGATTGATTCTCTTTTATGACCTCTGTCATTCAATTATCGGCAATCTATTGTTCTGAAACATATTAAAGGCACTTCAACGTTTATAGTTCAATAAAATGAAACATTTCCAGAAATATTCCGAAGTTTCTTATTTAGATGTTATATGATTTATTTAAAATAATGTATTTTCATCTAGAAAATTTTTATATAATAAACATCCTTTGAGTGAGTGTAACAATTAAACATTAAATTTTAGATGAAAATGATATACGTTTATACAGAAATGAAAAATATAATTAAGTATTGGTAGTTCATTCGCTTATTTAATTATTTATTCATCATTGAAAATATTGATATTCTTATATATTATTAAAAAAAAAAAAAAAAAAAAAAAAAAAAAAAAAAAAAAAAAAAAAAAAAAAAAAACCAATAATAAGAATTTGGTGAATTTCATAGAATTTGAAATTATTTTTTCTATTTTTTAATCACGAAATTATTTTTACTTCAAAATTTTCTTAAACATATTAAGTTAATTTATTGAATTTTTAAATTTAGATATCTTATTTTTTTTATTTATTATTATAAAATTTTACAGAATAGATATAAAAATTAAAATAGTTATATATCAAATATTATTTTTGTTATTTTTGTTGCATTATACATATTACCATGGATAATATTCTTTATAAATATGTACGATTTTTTTAGACAGAATATAGCGACATTGTAAGTAAAAATAGATTACTTAACAATAGAGGGGTATTACTCTCTAGTACAAAATTGTATACAAAAATTCTATCGGAGCAATTTCAATATGTTATTAATAATTTACATATTATTATAATAAGAATGAAAATTGTTATTATTAAAACTGTTGTAGTAATTATGTTAATGTTAATTATGTATAAAAATAAGTAATTATGATAATGATAAAAATGAAAAATGAAAAATTAAAAACAAATTAAAAACTTTTATAGTATTTATTATATAAGCATAAATATTATGTATCAATCTTAAAAGCCCAATATATTACGTATTGGCATTAATAATATAATGGTCAACAAAATTTGTTATTAAAAATATAATCAAATTAATTAAATATAAAAATTTTATAATTATAGTCATGTAATAAATTTAATTTATTTAATTAATTTAATATATGCCTAAGAAGGGCCTAAAATCAATCAACATATATATGTCGAAATAAAATTCATAAGCTGTCATCTTTTTAATTGTTTTCATGTTTACCTACTCGTTTACTTGGTTTTTTTTTTTTGTCTCCACCTCACTTTAATAAAGATAACTTTTCATGTTCATTAAGTGATATTACGGTTACAACGTGTATGTCGTATTCATATTTTTTTTTTTTTTTTTTTTTTTTTTTTTTTTTTATAAACGATTCTCGACTTCATTCCACTTCGTACGTTTTAAGAGTTCGTAGGATATGAGA